CAGAGAGTCTCCCCCTTTGGGGTCTTTTTGTGGGGGTTGGAGGGGGTCAGGAATTCTGACTTGGGGTCTGCTTCAGCCTCCTGCTTGGGGGGGGGGGGCTTTGGGCGAAGGCTGGAGGGAAGAGCCGCTGGTGGCATAGAGCTGGAGGGCCTCGTTCCCGTAGGACGGCATTATGGCCTGGAACTGGCTGACCATCTCAGCCTGCTGAGCCTCCAGGTGCCGGTATCTGGCCTTGCACTCCTGCAGGTCTTCCCTCTTCTTGGAAAGCCCATGCTCGTAGTCCTCAGTGAGGTGCTCCTGCTGAGCCTCCTTCTCGGTCAGATCCAATTTAAACTGAGCTGTTTTGCCAAGTCTTTCTCCTGGTGGCTACTTAGCTCCAGCAACTGCTTCCTGTTGGGGCCCTCAGGAGCCCGGGCAGGGCAGAAGAGGAGTGGCTGGGAGGGGAGGGGGCGAGTAGAGGCTCGCAAGGTGCCCCTCGATGTGAGTGACATCATGTTGGCCACACCCACCCACTCACATGACCACCTAGCCACGCCCACCCACCCGGTCATTAGGCAGATCATATTAGTGGTCCACAGGATTTAAAATTATGAATGTAGTGGTCCCTGGGGTCCGAAAGGTTGGGGACCTCTGATTTAGAGAGCCCGAATTTAATTCGAGATAGGAAGTTCACTCCCTCTACGTCTTACGAATAGATCTCTTATTTCCCCCTTTTTTGTATAAACGCAGAATTCGAATCATTTGAATGGAACCGGATCCCTGAAGGAAACCGCCAGCAGTACGGTGGCTATTTCTAGTAACGCTTCCCTCGTCAAGTCTCCTTCGGCACCTTCCTTGTCCATCTCCAAGTGGACCATGAACCGGTCGGCTACGGCCACCACCACAGATTCCTCCAAGAAGCCAAAACTCACCCTCAGTATTCACAACAACAAGCTGCCGGCTCGCCAAAGCGTCTCTCACACCGGCTGTACCGTGGAGAGCCTCAGCAAGTCCGCCCCGTCCGCTACCATTTCTAACCCCTCTGCAGTGCAATCTACCTCAAGCACTTCTTCCACCGTCTCCTCGGCTGCTAGCCAAGCCTCCAAAGCGCCGGCCGCCGGCAAATCCGGTTCCAAGCTGATCATGAACGGCAAAGCCAAGCACAGCCCTAGCATCTTGGTCCCTTACGGGGCGGAATCCTCCGAAGAATCGGACGAGGGGGAATCCAAGGGCCTGTTGAAAGAGAACGGCCACGTCAAAGTGTCCAACGGCGTTTTGTTAGAAGAGGCGGCCGGCGGGCTGGAGAACTCGTGCGCCTCCTGCCACAAGCCGGAAAAGGAAAGTCCTCAGCCCGAGTTGCCCCCAAACATAACCGTCATGGTCTCCATTAGCCTCAACGATGCCCCGAAGCAGAACGGACAAATAAGCAACGAGCCCACCTCCCAAGGGAAGTCCGCGAAATCGGCAGATCACCCGTTTCCGAAAAGCAACGGATTGCTCGGAAAGGTGAGTGGGTTTCTTGGAATGCGAGTGGTCCTCGGCTTGCGAGCACAATAGAGGCCAACAAAAATTTAAGCGAGACGGTGGTTAAGTGAGCTTTGCTCCATTTAAAAGTGACTCCCAGTCACATGACTCCCACCGCCACCAAACCACGCCCACAGAACCGTTGGGGGAAAAAAAGTTACATTTCACCACTGGCCAAAAGGAACCCCTGGTCCTATTCTTCTTCCGGTTGATGGTTGCGCTCTTGGGAGCCAGTCGCGTGTGCTGATTTTACCACTTCCGGATTTCGTACCGGAGTCTATTCTATCCGACCCGCTTGCTTGTCACTGTGTTAACCCTCGTGCGTTTTGAATCTACAGAGTTCTCCAAAAGCTTTGTCCTCAGTCCCTGAAGAGGACGTCCCGGATTCCTTCAGATACAAGCAGCTGCCCGGGGACTCCAGGTAAAACGGTCTTTCTTTATTCTAACTAGGCTCCGAATTTTAAGAGCCAGGTGAAATCTCATGTGAGCGGCCATCAGACAAGCACACACGCACTCTCTCCCTTTTCAGCCAGCTACTGGTGCGCATGTGCACACAGTGATCAGCTGTGCACATGCTCCCAGTGTAAAATGGAAGACCATCTTCCAGTTTCCGACCCTGCCACACACATACACACGAAGGCCAGCTCATCATGTGCGCCAGAAACCTGGAAGTGGAATGGGCGATGCCATACGTGCCAGGCAACATGGCTTCATGTGCCACTTTGGGCACGCGAGCCATAGGTTCGCCTTTGCAGCTATAAGACTGCCATGAACTGAGGAGGGTGGGGATGGGAATACGAGGTGCACGCCTCACAAATCCGCTGTATTAATCTGAGATCCAACTCTAGCCGAAGGTATGCGTGGAATGCGCTCCCCCGCGCCCCCCCCCCCATTCCTTACCAAGGCAACTTATAACAACATGCCAATGCTTTATGAGTTGACAGCAACCCTCTGCAAACAAAAATGGAGATTGGAAGGTCCGCCCACGGTCCTCTCAAGCTCTGTTTTTGGTAGCAGAGGCACCGCTAACCGGCTCCGGCTCCCGGGCCTTGAGTTTGACACCCCTGGTTTAGAGATATTTTTCTTTATATAAAGTTTTTTTTTATTTTTTCATTTTCATCACATATAACCTACATAGCCAACATCATATTCTATTATTAAATGTTTACATCGATTCATCTTACCATCAACTCCCAAAATCAATTATTGGCTCTTCTGCTCTCCATACACTGTATTTGTACCTTATCCATCACTTTCTTTTCCCTCTCTCCTCCTCCTCCCTACCTCCTTTCTTCCCTCTGTCATCCTTCTTTCCTCTACTTCCCCTTCCTCTCTCCTTCACCTCTCTCCCCTTTCCACTCCTCCTTTCTCCCCTCCTCTTCCCCCCCTTGCCCTCTCTCCTATCCCTCTCTCCTTCCCTTAACCTCTCTCCTCTACTTCCCACTCCTCATCTCATTTACTTGGTGTATTTCAGTCTCTGAGCAAGCTCCATTTTATGTTGATGGTATTTATAATTCCTTTTCAATGTACATATTTAGTTTTAACAAGTATTCTCCTTGAAAAAAAAATAGAACAAAAAAGTATACATATATAGTCATTGTGCTTTTAAATCCCCCCCCCCCCCCCCCCCCCCTTTCCCGAGATGTAGACCTGGTTACAATTACCATCTATTTTCATCATTATCTTTATATAATTATACATCCTTACATGCCCCCACTTTGTGATTCTGTTGTTAAATCTCAATAGTTTCCCATTGTAGGTGTATTTCATGTTCCCTCTCCATTTTTCCATATCTTGGATTAGATTACCTTTAATTGTGTATAAATGGCAATCCTCGCTGTTCAAAGTTCATTACAAATCCCTTAGTCTATTATATAGAATAGCAAGCGGTAAACATCTCACTTCATTCATCATCTTAAAAGTTCTATATATGTCCATGTTTCATGTATTTTAACCCATGCTTAGTTTAGAGAGATTTAAGTGGTGGCAGACCTAACATCCATCTTGTCATCTCTTTCTCTTCTTGACCAGCAGCGCTCCCGAACCAGAAAAACCAATGGCCGAAGACACCTCCGAAAAGGCCCCCGGTGCCCTTCCCAACAGTATCCCATGCCCCGTATCACCTTTGGACCCCGACGTCACTCCAGCCCCCAAGGACCCTTGTGAAAGGATTGCCCAGACAGAAGACGGACCGCTTGAAAACGACCGGCAGCACGGTTCCTCGGGGACAGAGGAAGCGGCCTCCCCAGGAGAAGGAGACAGTCAAAGCCTTCCTGAAAAGGCCGGAGTATCCAAAGACGAGAAAGCAGCCTCGGAGAAGAGCCCTGAACCCACTGAAGGACAGGCAGGATTGCCAGAAAAAGACGCCCAGAGCCCCGAAATGAGGTTGGACGGTGAATTTAGGCCCCCCCAAAAGCTAAAGACCCCCCTTCAGGCAGCTGAGACAGGTCCGGAAAGGCACGGCAGCCCTCCGGGCAATAAGGACACCCCGTGTGCCGAGAATTCTCCCCTTCCCCAACCCAAAACTCTTGCCGAGAGCCAGTGTTCAAAGACGGAAAGCAAACCGGCGGATGGCGGCGAGCCGATCCGAAGGAGCCTCGAAAAGCCGAGCTCGAGATTCTCCCCGAAGGAAAAAGCCCACAATTGCAAAAAAGCCGACCAAGAATATTATCGTTCTAAAAGGAAGCGTTCTGAAACCGAGGAAGAGGAAGAGGAGGAGGAGGAAGCAGACGGGGCGGGCGGGCGGAGCCAAACCGACGGACACTGCAGCAAGCAGAGGTGCGCTTACAGTAGGGAGCGGGGAAAGCAGCAGGAGCAGCCCCGACGGGAATATCACAGCACCGGCTACTACAGGTTCCCGGGCAGTCCCGATCCCGCCAGGAGTTTGGGCAAGTACCCTCCCTACAGATCCCGCAGCAGGGGCCAAACGGACTCTGAACGGAGCAGGCCCAGTTACGGGAAAGGAGGCGAGCGGTCGTGGAGCAGGGAGCGGTACTACCAGGAAACGCCGAGGAGGTGGGACGTGTGCCGGTCGTACAGTTACTACTACTCGGCTTCCCACCTGCCCCGGCATAACCAGGAGAGGAAGCCGACGCATTCCGAGAGAGACTATAGCAAATCGAGTCATGTTTACAGTAGCCCCTATAATAAGTACGATTATTACAAAAGCCGTTTGAGCCACAACCCCGAGAGGAAGAGGCGTTTTTCCCCGAGCCCCGAGGCCAGCGACTGCGCCCCCGAAAAGAAACACCCCAAAATCTTGCCAGACCCTTCTCTCGACGAACAAAAGGGACGGAAGCGGAAGAAGTCGAAGAAGAAGAAAAAGTTAAAAGATAAACACAAGGAGAAAGAGGCCAGGTGAGCAAAAGACGGCGGGAGCCTGGGTTGTAAACAGGGTTTTATATACACGGTATGGTTTCTGAAATTGGTCACCGGTGTCCCAATCCTTCCTTTCCCTACCTTCTGCCCCCCCCCCCTTCCACCTCCCGCCCCTCAAAAAAAGGCTGAAAGATTTCAGGAGCTTGATTTCTTTTAAAGCTGAAAGACCTAGGCTTCCCCAAAAAAGCCCGAAGCAGGTTCCTGGTCCCGACAAAACCCCTTTTATTAAACGAATGTCAATTCCTCCCATTCACATTCAGCCGAGGCCCCTGCAAACAGTCTTTCAAAGGTGAAGTTATGACCACAGACCTTATCTAGCTTGGAAAGCTGCCATGTCAATATTTTCCAAATGAGGCTCTGTGCAAGGAAAGACTTGGGCACAGAGTCTCTGAGATTCAAGGACAGATCTTCACACTCCTGGAACGAATCTGAATGAATGAATTGTTTCCTGCAAAAGCCCCCTCCCTTTTCGCTCCTCTTTTATGTCCTATGGGAGGGGCCATTCACCTTCCACCTGTGGCTTTACTCCCAAGTACGCCCTGATTTCTGAGCTGTTCTTGTCTTCTGGCAGCTCTGCGCATGCGCAGACTGGGAACAGGCTCCAGCTGTTCCTCTGCCTCCTTGCTGTCTAACTCCAAAGGCAGCTGAGAACTGCCAGACAGCCTCGGCCCCCTCTCTGTTTCCGACACAGAGCCCTCATCAGAGCCTTCCCCAGACTCAAGGACTGGCCCAAGTTCCTCCCCAACCCTCCTCACTGTCTGACTCTGCTGCCAGCTCTGCTGGCGGGCCACAACAGATGCCCCGTGACCTACCTCTCAATGAATGCAGCTGAAGACAGCTTCACGACATGGGTGTGAATTGGTGCGGTATGAGAGTTGTGGTTGAAATGTATGGATTGATAGAACAGCCTGTCACCCTGTCCCTTTCTTTTAGCCCTAGTTCCTTGTCTGCCATGTGGGTAGCACAGCAATCTTCGCCCCATGCTTTCTGGGGTGGCCGAAAGTGTGACTCATTGAATGACTCAGTAAATGGCCCCATGAGTGACTCAAAGACACAGGAATGTCCTCTTCGGTCAAGTCACAAGGACAGCCGGTACATCCTGTCCTATAGTGGTAACGTT